TGGAGTTCTTCCATTATTAGTACGGTACATTTCATTATAGCGTGTTTAAAAAAACTTTTTTTAAATATTACTTATTGTGATCTACTTTACCGGGTGAAGCCCACCGACATATTCGCTTCTTTTCTCAGAAGCGACCTGGCCACGTATAATCGCTCGACGAAGTGGCCGATAGCATCGTCATCATCACGTGGAAAGTTCTAGAATCAGCCATAAAAAAAAACTTCTAAACAAACGCATGTTCGATTTAAAGCTTTCGTGACTGCAAGGATTCATATTATTGGTTCTTTCGGTAAAGTCTCGTAGGAGGGAAATAATAAAATAATAAAAATAAAACAATCAAATTCTCACGACGTTTCGATTGCAACACAAGCAATCATCAAATTTTCTTGCTGTGGTTTTCACACCTGATGATGATTGCTTGTGTTGCAATAGAAACGTCGTGACAATTTAATTGTTTTATTTTTATTATTTTATTATTTCCCTTCTACGTGACTTTACCGAAAGAACCAAGAATATAAACGCATGTTGATTCTAAATATCCCGGCAAGTCTTAGCAGCATTCCCAGGACAGGCTATCCGGACAACCACGATCCCGGGAAAATCAGGGACAGGTGGCAACACTACTGGGGCGGGGGGGGGTGGGGAGCTCGGAGTGGGGGGCACCTCTAAAATAAATTTCCTGCACCCCCCCCCCGCCGCCTCTCTCCCGCAATTTTTTCCATCCTAGGCAACCACCTGTAGCCGCAACCCCCTAACCCCTACCCCGAGCGCCGTCAACTGACTACACAGTGGGGGCTTTTGTGCGCCTTGCGAGCGCTCCTCTCATCTCGCAGTCCCCCAAAATTTAATCTTCGTCCAATTACCGGGCGCGTAATAAATCGCGCACAGTGGCGCACATTGTCCGTCTCGCCCGCGATATTTCGCTTTCTGAGCGATGTGCCTAGGTGGCTTTTTTTTATTTAAGCCGGTTGGTTGGCTTTATTAAGGGATGGAAGAGATTGCAAGTTTTTAAATCCTTTATATTAAATTCGCTTGCTTGCTTAGGACCGTGCAAATCTTTCGGTCGTTTTTTAACCCACTTCCCGTGATCCAATCGAGCTGACATTTTGCACACAGACTCGTTGTGCGTGACAATGTTTAGGGGAAAAAATTAAATATTTAATTACCAATTGTTTAATGCTGCCAGACAATCATCTGACCCATAGGTGGCAGCCATCTCAAGCCAGAGGACGAGAGGACTCTAGCCGCCCCGATGCCACGCATATAAAGGATTTATAGTGAAAAACTTTGTTTTTACGGGTTAATTTTTTTTTTCTCCGAAAGGGGCCGAAAGCTCCCCCGCGGAGCTCCGCGGATACCCCACGGAGCTCCCCCTCACACCTGCGGAGCTCCGCGGGGCCCCGTGGTCTCGTAGCGGTGGAAATTTTTGCCCGTCGCGTTTTGCTCGGAAGTTTCTGCCCACCGTGCGTGCGTGTGACCTGCGCGCGCGTGCGCCAATGTTACGCTATACAGGGTATTTTAAACAGATGGACCCGATTTGAAATCGCTATATCTCTGCAACCTCAAAACGCCCATGAATGAAACTCTTGCCACTTGAAAGGGCGGGGCATAACGTTTAAAATGATTACTGCTTGATGCCTCTCCCAGCGCACAAACAGCCCCTAGCCTCAGTCATTCGCAAGACGCACTGCCTCAACGTTGGATAGGTCTCACGGGACACCAAGACTTGGCGCTACACTCTTGGCCCCCAAGATCCCCATACATCATCACACCCTGCGACTTTTTCTTGTGGGGATACGTCAAAGACCGTGTTGTTTTTGTGCCACCATTAGCGACTAATCTGGATGACCTCAAAAACAGAATCACGGCAGCGGTGACTTCAGTGGAAGAAGACACTTTGAGAGGCGCTGGGGACGAATTCAACTATCGTCTCGATGTTGTCCATACAGTAGGTGGAGGGCACATAGAGCATTTATAAAATGGTTAGTAAAACTTGATAACTCATTAAACATATTCTTGTTTTTTTCGGTAAAGTCACGTAGAAGGGAAACAATAAAATAATAAAAATATAAAACAATAGTATTCTCATGACGTTTCGACTGCAACACAAGCAATCATCATCAGGTGTGAAAAAATTTGAAAAAAAGATTTCAAATTTTCTTGCTGTGTTTTTCACACGTGATGATGATTGCTTGTGTTGCAGGCGAAACGTCGTGAGAATTGTATTTTTTATATTTTTATAATTTTTTCGTTTCCCTTCTACGTGACTTTACCGAAAGAACCAAGAATATGAATCCCTGCAGTCACGAAAGCTTTGAATCAAAATTTAACTCATTAAACCGTTTGTAACTTTTTGTGTAATTGTAACATGTTGCCATCGTGAAATATACTGCTTTGAAATCGGGTCCATCTTTTTTAATCACCCTGCATAAATGCGCGCGCTTTGACTCGTCGCGGTTGCTTTAGCAGACCGCCATGACGAGCACGTTTTTTTTATGGATCGTCGCCAAAATGTCGATTCGTTTGCAGTCGCCTTGGCGAAACGTCTCACGGTTATGCCACGCGAAAAATCCCATTTCGATGTACATACGCGTGCGACAAATGTAATATTATACAATTAAACCCATGAATATTTCAGGTTTTTTTTTTATCGTGGAATATTGCGGGGAAGTGGAGGGGTGATAAATATGCGAATGTTGTATTTTTAATTTTTTGTATTAATAACAAATATCCCCTCGCCACACTGAGAGAGTACAATTCAGTCGGAATATTTCACCACCATCGTCAATAAGGACACCGTGTGTGTGGCTTGTAAAGGAAAACACATGTATATAATCGGCGACGTTTCAGACAATGGGCCTTCTGCATAGCACGTGCATCCTATGCAAGCATGATATAATCATAGCGTAATAAAAATAATAAACTAAGTTTCCATCAAGCGCCTTTCAAATTGGTAATCTCGAAGCGCTGTACATCACAGGTAAACTAAATGTATATCTAAAAATAAACCACTGACGCAGCAGTAAACGCCGATCACAATCACAATAAAACCAGAGATAAAATGAAAATATCAACAATGGCCACTGACGATATCGTTGGGACCCAGGGAAGCGACTGCTTAAAAATGTCACAATCTCCATACAATCGAATCGATCTGAAAGAAAAGCCATTGAATAAATAGAGTTTTTTTTTGCTTCATTTAAAAGGAGCAATGGAGATTTAGAGTTCCCGATTCGTATGGGAATACCGTTCCCAAGCACTTGATCCGCGTTCATTCGTTACTGGACAAGTGTGAAAAAATAGCTTCATAGCTCATCGGATTCCTCCAGTATGAATACAATATTCAGATTCCGATTTTGATGCATGCCGGCTGTTTGGGGTATTGACGATACTACCTTGTGTGTCTGTTTGTTTGTTGAACTTCTTTCGCACCGTGCGTAGCCAACAGCGCTAATCAGAGGTGCAGTGTTGAGTCTATGGGCAGTGTTGAGTCTATGGGTAGTGTTGAGTCTATGGGTAGTGTTGAGTCTATGGGTAGTGTTGAGTCTATGGGCAGTGTTGAGTCTATGGGCAGTGTTGAGTCTATGGTGAAGTGTTGAGTCTATGGGTAGTGTTGAGTCTATGGGCAGTGTTGAGTCTATGGTTAGTGTTGAGTCTATGGGTAGTGTTGAGTCTATGGGCAGTGTTGAGTCTATGGTTAGTGTTGAGTCTATGGGCAGTGTTGAGTCTACGGGTAGTGTTGAGTCTACGGGCAGTGTTGAGTCTATGGTGCAGTGTTGAGTCTATGGGCAGTGTTGAGTCTATGGTGCAGTGTTGAGTCTATGGGCAGTATTGAGTCTATGGGCAGTGTTGAGTCTATGGTGCAGTGTTGAGTCTATGGGCAGTGTTGAGTCTATGGTGCAGTGTTGAGTCTATGGTTAGTGTTGACTCTATGGGCAGTGTTGACTCTATGGGTAGTGTTGAGTCTATGGGTAGTGTTGAGTCTATGGGCAGTGTTGAGTCTATGGTTAGTGTTGACTCTATGGGCAGTGTTGAGTCTACGGGTAGTGTTGAGTCTATGGTGCAGTGTTGAGTCTATGGTTAGTGTTGAGTCTATGGGTAGTGTTGAGTCTACGGGTAGTGTTGAGTCTATGGTTAGTGTTGAGTCTATGGGTAGTGTTGAGTCTACGGGTAGTGTTGAGTCTATGGTTAGTGTTGAGTCTATGGGTAGTGTTGAGTCTACGGGTAGTGTTGAGTCTATGGTGCAGTGTTGAGTCTATGGTTAGTGTTGAGTCTATGGGCAGTGTTGAGTCTACGGGTAGTGTTGAGTCTATGGTTAGTGTTGAGTCTATGGGTAGTGTTGAGTCTATGGGCAGTGTTGAGTCTATGGGTAGTGTTGAGTCTATGGTGCAGTGTTGAGTCTATGGTTAGTGTTGAGTCTATGGGCAGTGTTGAGTCTACGGGTAGTGTTGAGTCTACGGGCAGTGTTGAGTCTATGGTGCAGTGTTGAGTCTATGGGCAGTGTTGAGTCTATGGTGCAGTGTTGAGTCTATGGGTAGTGTTGAGTCTATGGTGCAGTGTTGAGTCTATGGTTAGTGTTGACTCTATGGGCAGTGTTGACTCTATGGGTAGTGTTGAGTCTATGGGTAGTGTTAGTCTATGGGTAGTGTTAGTCTATCGGTAGTGTTCGTCTATGGGCAGTGTTGAGTCTATGGGCAGTGTTAGTCTATGGGCAGTGTTGAGTTTATGGGCAGTGTTAGTCTATGGTCAGTGTGTATGTTTGTGCTGTATGTTGAAGTTCTTTCGCGCCGCACGAAGCCGCGTGAAAATTAATGAACGTAATTTGGTGGAATGCGTACGACTGCCGACAGCGAGAGAGTTCCACTGTTTTTTTAGTATTTCCCCGTAGGGCCAAAGCAAAGTCTGTAGAGGTCATCATCGCGACGAGGTAACGGCGTCGCCCGTCCGTAGGCGAGCGAGTGAGAGCGCGGTGCAGGTGAAACGGCGGAATGAGCTCTTACCTGCACGCCATGGCGGTTGGATTGAGCCTCTTCTGGAAGTTTCGACCGAAAATAAGTTGCCTCTCGGTCCTTCGCCTCTCTGCGGCAAACTCGCGCTCAGCTTTCTTTGACACGAACCTGCAGAACGGCGGCGTTGTGTCCATTCGGTATCACAGCCCTCTTATAAGTCCTCGTCAAGTTGTTTTTTGATTGGTGGCCGATTATTTATTTAATTACTCAAGGGGGGGTGGGGGAGTTTCAGAATTTAATATCCTTCACAAGGCCTTCCATTCTATCAGCCTTTGTTCCATCGGTGTCCTTGATTTAACCAGATAAGCGATCAGTCAGATCCATTTTCGGTTTCGCAACGGATACCTGGAATCCTTAGTACCTAAGCAACAACAACGATACAATTGATCAACATTATTGTGGTTTAAGTCGAAACCGTAGTTTAAGTTTGTGACTTTGGGCCGGGGAAACTGTCACGCACATCATCAGATTGCGTCCCCGTGAATTATTTCCCAGGGTGCTGAGCACCAATTTCACAGCCAAAATGACTCGCTCACATTGTGAATTCGCTTTTGCAACTTGTGCTTTGCCCAATTGTGGGGAGTTCATCAAAGCTCCGGACACAATGGTTTCAGGCAACGAGACTAACACATACATACGAGGTATTCATATTCTTGGGTGTTTTTGGTAAAGTCACGTAGGTAAAAAATTTAAATTAATAAAAGTAATATAAAATAAAAATAAAATAAAAATCACGACGTTTCGGAGGCAACACAAGCTTCCGTCTTCAGGTGGAACCGTCACAGCACGCTTGCTGTATCATTTACTTGATCGTCACAGCACGCTTGCTGTATCAAGTAGCTTGTGTTGCCTCCGAAACGTCGTGATTTTTATCTTATTTTTATTTTATTTTACTTTTATTAATTTAAAATTTTTACGTACGTGACTTTACCGAAACAACCCAAGAATATGAATCCTTGCAGTCACGAAAGCTTCAAATCTAGAATATATACGAGGATTTGCCACGGTGTTACGGTCAGTGCAACGGACCTGCAATCCAGAGGTCACCCGTTTCGACCTCCGCGCATGGCATTTGAAGCAATGGGGCAAAGTTTCTTAAATGTCCATCCAGCAGCGTGAATGGGTGCGTCGTAGCAAGTCGATTGGCAGGTCACGTGCGGCGGGTCTAATTGTCCACGGTCAACTGACGTTGGCTGTAATTGACCACGGCCCCTTACGTTATGGCAAGCTTCGGGGCCACTTCCTGGAGTCGTGGAGTTCTTCCATTATTAGTACGGTACATTTCATTATAGCGTGTTTAAAAAAACTTTTTTTAAATATTACTTATTGTGATCTACTTTACCGGGTGAAGCCCACCGACATATTCGCTTCTTTTCTCAGAAGCGACCTGGCCACGTATAATCGCTCGACGAAGTGGCCGATAGCATCGTCATCATCACGTGGAAAGTTCTAGAATCAGCCATAAAAAAAAACTTCTAAACAAACGCATGTTCGATTTAAAGCTTTCGTGACTGCAAGGATTCATATTATTGGTTCTTTCGGTAAAGTCTCGTAGGAGGGAAATAATAAAATAATAAAAATAAAACAATCAAATTCTCACGACGTTTCGATTGCAACACAAGCAATCATCAAATTTTCTTGCTGTGGTTTTCACACCTGATGATGATTGCTTGTGTTGCAATAGAAACGTCGTGACAATTTAATTGTTTTATTTTTATTATTTTATTATTTCCCTTCTACGTGACTTTACCGAAAGAACCAAGAATATAAACGCATGTTGATTCTAAATATCCCGGCAAGTCTTAGCAGCATTCCCAGGACAGGCTATCCGGACAACCACGATCCCGGGAAAATCAGGGACAGGTGGCAACACTACTGGGGCGGGGGGGGGTGGGGAGCTCGGAGTGGGGGGCACCTCTAAAATAAATTTCCTGCACCCCCCCCCCGCCGCCTCTCTCCCGCAATTTTTTCCATCCTAGGCAACCACCTGTAGCCGCAACCCCCTAACCCCTACCCCGAGCGCCGTCAACTGACTACACAGTGGGGGCTTTTGTGCGCCTTGCGAGCGCTCCTCTCATCTCGCAGTCCCCCAAAATTTAATCTTCGTCCAATTACCGGGCGCGTAATAAATCGCGCACAGTGGCGCACATTGTCCGTCTCGCCCGCGATATTTCGCTTTCTGAGCGATGTGCCTAGGTGGCTTTTTTTTATTTAAGCCGGTTGGTTGGCTTTATTAAGGGATGGAAGAGATTGCAAGTTTTTAAATCCTTTATATTAAATTCGCTTGCTTGCTTAGGACCGTGCAAATCTTTCGGTCGTTTTTTAACCCACTTCCCGTGATCCAATCGAGCTGACATTTTGCACACAGACTCGTTGTGCGTGACAATGTTTAGGGGAAAAAATTAAATATTTAATTACCAATTGTTTAATGCTGCCAGACAATCATCTGACCCATAGGTGGCAGCCATCTCAAGCCAGAGGACGAGAGGACTCTAGCCGCCCCGATGCCACGCATATAAAGGATTTATAGTGAAAAACTTTGTTTTTACGGGTTAATTTTTTTTTTCTCCGAAAGGGGCCGAAAGCTCCCCCGCGGAGCTCCGCGGATACCCCACGGAGCTCCCCCTCACACCTGCGGAGCTCCGCGGGGCCCCGTGGTCTCGTAGCGGTGGAAATTTTTGCCCGTCGCGTTTTGCTCGGAAGTTTCTGCCCACCGTGCGTGCGTGTGACCTGCGCGCGCGTGCGCCAATGTTACGCTATACAGGGTATTTTAAACAGATGGACCCGATTTGAAATCGCTATATCTCTGCAACCTCAAAACGCCCATGAATGAAACTCTTGCCACTTGAAAGGGCGGGGCATAACGTTTAAAATGATTACTGCTTGATGCCTCTCCCAGCGCACAAACAGCCCCTAGCCTCAGTCATTCGCAAGACGCACTGCCTCAACGTTGGATAGGTCTCACGGGACACCAAGACTTGGCGCTACACTCTTGGCCCCCAAGATCCCCATACATCATCACACCCTGCGACTTTTTCTTGTGGGGATACGTCAAAGACCGTGTTGTTTTTGTGCCACCATTAGCGACTAATCTGGATGACCTCAAAAACAGAATCACGGCAGCGGTGACTTCAGTGGAAGAAGACACTTTGAGAGGCGCTGGGGACGAATTCAACTATCGTCTCGATGTTGTCCATACAGTAGGTGGAGGGCACATAGAGCATTTATAAAATGGTTAGTAAAACTTGATAACTCATTAAACATATTCTTGTTTTTTTCGGTAAAGTCACGTAGAAGGGAAACAATAAAATAATAAAAATATAAAACAATAGTATTCTCATGACGTTTCGACTGCAACACAAGCAATCATCATCAGGTGTGAAAAAATTTGAAAAAAAGATTTCAAATTTTCTTGCTGTGTTTTTCACACGTGATGATGATTGCTTGTGTTGCAGGCGAAACGTCGTGAGAATTGTATTTTTTATATTTTTATAATTTTTTCGTTTCCCTTCTACGTGACTTTACCGAAAGAACCAAGAATATGAATCCCTGCAGTCACGAAAGCTTTGAATCAAAATTTAACTCATTAAACCGTTTGTAACTTTTTGTGTAATTGTAACATGTTGCCATCGTGAAATATACTGCTTTGAAATCGGGTCCATCTTTTTTAATCACCCTGCATAAATGCGCGCGCTTTGACTCGTCGCGGTTGCTTTAGCAGACCGCCATGACGAGCACGTTTTTTTTATGGATCGTCGCCAAAATGTCGATTCGTTTGCAGTCGCCTTGGCGAAACGTCTCACGGTTATGCCACGCGAAAAATCCCATTTCGATGTACATACGCGTGCGACAAATGTAATATTATACAATTAAACCCATGAATATTTCAGGTTTTTTTTTTATCGTGGAATATTGCGGGGAAGTGGAGGGGTGATAAATATGCGAATGTTGTATTTTTAATTTTTTGTATTAATAACAAATATCCCCTCGCCACACTGAGAGAGTACAATTCAGTCGGAATATTTCACCACCATCGTCAATAAGGACACCGTGTGTGTGGCTTGTAAAGGAAAACACATGTATATAATCGGCGACGTTTCAGACAATGGGCCTTCTGCATAGCACGTGCATCCTATGCAAGCATGATATAATCATAGCGTAATAAAAATAATAAACTAAGTTTCCATCAAGCGCCTTTCAAATTGGTAATCTCGAAGCGCTGTACATCACAGGTAAACTAAATGTATATCTAAAAATAAACCACTGACGCAGCAGTAAACGCCGATCACAATCACAATAAAACCAGAGATAAAATGAAAATATCAACAATGGCCACTGACGATATCGTTGGGACCCAGGGAAGCGACTGCTTAAAAATGTCACAATCTCCATACAATCGAATCGATCTGAAAGAAAAGCCATTGAATAAATAGAGTTTTTTTTTGCTTCATTTAAAAGGAGCAATGGAGATTTAGAGTTCCCGATTCGTATGGGAATACCGTTCCCAAGCACTTGATCCGCGTTCATTCGTTACTGGACAAGTGTGAAAAAATAGCTTCATAGCTCATCGGATTCCTCCAGTATGAATACAATATTCAGATTCCGATTTTGATGCATGCCGGCTGTTTGGGGTATTGACGATACTACCTTGTGTGTCTGTTTGTTTGTTGAACTTCTTTCGCACCGTGCGTAGCCAACAGCGCTAATCAGAGGTGCAGTGTTGAGTCTATGGGCAGTGTTGAGTCTATGGGTAGTGTTGAGTCTATGGGTAGTGTTGAGTCTATGGGTAGTGTTGAGTCTATGGGCAGTGTTGAGTCTATGGGCAGTGTTGAGTCTATGGTGAAGTGTTGAGTCTATGGGTAGTGTTGAGTCTATGGGCAGTGTTGAGTCTATGGTTAGTGTTGAGTCTATGGGTAGTGTTGAGTCTATGGGCAGTGTTGAGTCTATGGTTAGTGTTGAGTCTATGGGCAGTGTTGAGTCTACGGGTAGTGTTGAGTCTACGGGCAGTGTTGAGTCTATGGTGCAGTGTTGAGTCTATGGGCAGTGTTGAGTCTATGGTGCAGTGTTGAGTCTATGGGCAGTATTGAGTCTATGGGCAGTGTTGAGTCTATGGTGCAGTGTTGAGTCTATGGGCAGTGTTGAGTCTATGGTGCAGTGTTGAGTCTATGGTTAGTGTTGACTCTATGGGCAGTGTTGACTCTATGGGTAGTGTTGAGTCTATGGGTAGTGTTGAGTCTATGGGCAGTGTTGAGTCTATGGTTAGTGTTGACTCTATGGGCAGTGTTGAGTCTACGGGTAGTGTTGAGTCTATGGTGCAGTGTTGAGTCTATGGTTAGTGTTGAGTCTATGGGTAGTGTTGAGTCTACGGGTAGTGTTGAGTCTATGGTTAGTGTTGAGTCTATGGGTAGTGTTGAGTCTACGGGTAGTGTTGAGTCTATGGTTAGTGTTGAGTCTATGGGTAGTGTTGAGTCTACGGGTAGTGTTGAGTCTATGGTGCAGTGTTGAGTCTATGGTTAGTGTTGAGTCTATGGGCAGTGTTGAGTCTACGGGTAGTGTTGAGTCTATGGTTAGTGTTGAGTCTATGGGTAGTGTTGAGTCTATGGGCAGTGTTGAGTCTATGGGTAGTGTTGAGTCTATGGTGCAGTGTTGAGTCTATGGTTAGTGTTGAGTCTATGGGCAGTGTTGAGTCTACGGGTAGTGTTGAGTCTACGGGCAGTGTTGAGTCTATGGTGCAGTGTTGAGTCTATGGGCAGTGTTGAGTCTATGGTGCAGTGTTGAGTCTATGGGTAGTGTTGAGTCTATGGTGCAGTGTTGAGTCTATGGTTAGTGTTGACTCTATGGGCAGTGTTGACTCTATGGGTAGTGTTGAGTCTATGGGTAGTGTTAGTCTATGGGTAGTGTTAGTCTATCGGTAGTGTTCGTCTATGGGCAGTGTTGAGTCTATGGGCAGTGTTAGTCTATGGGCAGTGTTGAGTTTATGGGCAGTGTTAGTCTATGGTCAGTGTGTATGTTTGTGCTGTATGTTGAAGTTCTTTCGCGCCGCACGAAGCCGCGTGAAAATTAATGAACGTAATTTGGTGGAATGCGTACGACTGCCGACAGCGAGAGAGTTCCACTGTTTTTTTAGTATTTCCCCGTAGGGCCAAAGCAAAGTCTGTAGAGGTCATCATCGCGACGAGGTAACGGCGTCGCCCGTCCGTAGGCGAGCGAGTGAGAGCGCGGTGCAGGTGAAACGGCGGAATGAGCTCTTACCTGCACGCCATGGCGGTTGGATTGAGCCTCTTCTGGAAGTTTCGACCGAAAATAAGTTGCCTCTCGGTCCTTCGCCTCTCTGCGGCAAACTCGCGCTCAGCTTTCTTTGACACGAACCTGCAGAACGGCGGCGTTGTGTCCATTCGGTATCACAGCCCTCTTATAAGTCCTCGTCAAGTTGTTTTTTGATTGGTGGCCGATTATTTATTTAATTACTCAAGGGGGGGTGGGGGAGTTTCAGAATTTAATATCCTTCACAAGGCCTTCCATTCTATCAGCCTTTGTTCCATCGGTGTCCTTGATTTAACCAGATAAGCGATCAGTCAGATCCATTTTCGGTTTCGCAACGGATACCTGGAATCCTTAGTACCTAAGCAACAACAACGATACAATTGATCAACATTATTGTGGTTTAAGTCGAAACCGTAGTTTAAGTTTGTGACTTTGGGCCGGGGAAACTGTCACGCACATCATCAGATTGCGTCCCCGTGAATTATTTCCCAGGGTGCTGAGCACCAATTTCACAGCCAAAATGACTCGCTCACATTGTGAATTCGCTTTTGCAACTTGTGCTTTGCCCAATTGTGGGGAGTTCATCAAAGCTCCGGACACAATGGTTTCAGGCAACGAGACTAACACATACATACGAGGTATTCATATTCTTGGGTGTTTTTGGTAAAGTCACGTAGGTAAAAAATTTAAATTAATAAAAGTAATATAAAATAAAAATAAAATAAAAATCACGACGTTTCGGAGGCAACACAAGCTTCCGTCTTCAGGTGGAACCGTCACAGCACGCTTGCTGTATCATTTACTTGATCGTCACAGCACGCTTGCTGTATCAAGTAGCTTGTGTTGCCTCCGAAACGTCGTGATTTTTATCTTATTTTTATTTTATTTTACTTTTATTAATTTAAAATTTTTACGTACGTGACTTTACCGAAACAACCCAAGAATATGAATCCTTGCAGTCACGAAAGCTTCAAATCTAGAATATATACGAGGATTTGCCACGGTGTTACGGTCAGTGCAACGGACCTGCAATCCAGAGGTCACCCGTTTCGACCTCCGCGCATGGCATTTGAAGCAATGGGGCAAAGTTTCTTAAATGTCCATCCAGCAGCGTGAATGGGTGCGTCGTAGCAAGTCGATTGGCAGGTCACGTGCGGCGGGTAAAAGCGTGGGGGCAATGCCACCTGTAGTCAAGACGTTAATCTGCGGACGTAACGGCCGCAACTCAGAGGCGCGGAGCCAAGCTCAGAGTCACTCGAAAGCACGTGGCTGTAGAGGTGAGCTTTTAAGTGTCTCTTGAAGGAGACGATTGCGGTGATGCTGCGAATGTGCAGAGGGGATTGCGTTCCAGACTGTTGGGGCAGCCACCGAGAAGCGGCGCATAGACACTATGACCATCCTGGATCTTGGTATCGAGAGGAGGTCGTGAGTCACACTGCGCAGGCATCTGCCGTGTGCTGCGCTGCAAGTCGTCAATAGTGAGGATAGGTACGGGGGGCAGGCAGGTGTGAAGGCGCGGTGGCAGAGGCAGGCGATCTTGTATGTGACCCTGCTGGCAATGGGTACCCAGTGGAGGGCACGGAGAGACAGGCAAGTGAGTCGAGACGGGGATGAGACGACGCATGGCAGGTTGTTTTGTAGTCTTTGAAGTTTTTTTTTTGTTTGGTCAGCGCGCTTTCAGACGCGCTCCTGCGGCCGTCTGGTACGCTTTTTTTCCTTCCGATATTAGGAAGTCGCTTGAGCCTTGCGTTTTTAAACCATCTGGATTGACAAACTAATTTCTCTAGAACTGATTGTCGTGTTTAGTTTGTTGTCCTTTCCCTCGCACCTGCGATAAGCACGGTTGGCTACGTACGGTGCGAAATGAGTTCAACATACTTGGAAGAGTAGAGAGCTTCCTCTAGTGGAGGCCCTTCCACCAACATTGCACGAGCCAGACATTGCAGGGCTGCACCTTTACCTTTTTACATTGTTTGATTAATTTTTTTTCCGGTATGAAAACAATTTATATCGCTCGCGTCTTGAACACATCACGAATCTCCTTCCCGTTGACATACGCCAGGTCAGAAAACCATCTCTCATCCACGCTGAACGTTTTCCAGGATGTCAGGGTCACGTTACTGGTATTCCCTAATTAGGGTGAGTTCTTAAAAAAAAAAAATTCGAATCATCCATCCACTCCTTTGTGTGAAAATTGAGATTTCCGTGACCTCGGTATGTGACCCTTGACGAAATCCGACCGCGATTACGAGAAAGCCCCCCCCCCCACCCTCTACATCTACAGCGACTCTTCCACAACACGATCGTTATCCCGCTGCTCATTTAAGCCAAACTAAAGGCAGCCTCAATTTAACACGTAGGCTTTAGCGACCAATATTATTCATAATATAGGTTTTTGGGTCAGATCGCGTTATTTATAAATGTGTCGTAACTCTCCACCACCCGACACGGCCAAACAGTAAAAAATGTGTCACGTTTTTCAAATGACAAAATAATTCACTTCTTTAGCCCACCGGTGTGCTGAAGAGAGAATCAACAGCATTTTAAAATTTGAGTAGTTTGACGTTTCGCTGATAATTACAATCAGCTTCAACGGGCAAGAATGGTGAAGCTCTCCTGTTGCTTCCGGTCTTAAATAGAGCAGCAGCATCAGGGTGACGTCATCATTTAATTCAATTCAATCTGGTGCAGTGATTCGATGGCCGTTTAACGCGTGGATGTCGGCTTCCGCAACTGATATCATCTATGATACAGGGTTTTTTACAGGGGGTTAGATCGCGTGAATATATAAATGTGTCGTTAAACCCGCCACCACCCGACACAGCCAACTAGTAAGGTTTGTCACGTAAACAGAACGTGACCAATTCATTACTAGTACAGCACTAACCGGTGTTTTGGAGAGCGAATCCACAACATTCACAATCTGAGTACGACGTTTCGCCAGTAATTACAACCGGCATCATCAGCCGACAGCCAGATTTGTGGAGAAATCCTCCCGTTTCGTTCCTTGAATAGAGGCGTAGATGTGATGACGTCACTTGTGAGCCCTTAACGTGCGAAGGGGGGGGGGTGTTAATGAATTCACATACATTTCAATGGTTATCTATTACCGGTTTGGCTATTCATCTGGTAATCAGCGTACATTGTGCATGCCCGATGCACAAACGCGATTGGAGGAATCGCAGCGGTGCAGCGATCCGCTTGCTCCTGGGAAACAGTCATCCGGTTCAACCCACCTCGATACAAGGTGATGGTGTTTGTTCTACATGGACACCAGCCACAGGAAACGAGAGGATCACATCCAGGTCGACAAATCGAGCAGCGCATTGCGGGAACTCGAGCAAGCCAATCGTGGTATTACGTGACTGGTTTAGCGGTATTGTGTTACTGGTCCCGATTTACTAAATCCCCAAATCAGGGAATGTGAAGCCAGTCAGGTGGCTCAGATATTGCGAGATCAATTCCTGGCTGGGGGGGGGGGGGGTTAGGTGTTGACGAAGCCCATCATCGCTCCGGGGTAGTTAAAATGGGTACCACTTAGTGGGTGAAGTCAATAGTGCGCTATGGATAGATCCGTCCCCAACATGGAGTTTCCACTACTGGCTCAGGGCTGTGAACGCTCATTGCATCATCGCCCGGCGCTTTCAGATGCGCGCTTCTGCGGCCGTCTGGAACGCTCTTCCGTCCGATATTAGGAAGCCACTGGAGCTACTATGCACGTCTCGATTGTTTTTCGCACTGCTTTTTGTGTGTTAGTCTGTTGTCCCCCCCCCGCACCTCCGATTAGCACGATTGGCTACGTACGGTGCGAGAGAAAGCTGAACATACACATCTACATGATGGTGGTGATGATGTTAATGGTTGTGATGTTGAGGATGTACCGCTTCATGGGTGAAGTCAACAGTGGATGGATCCGTCCGCCGATATAGGAATATGGAGTTTCCACCACGAGCTCAGAGCTGTCAACAGGCTAAGAGCAGCGGCCTCAAATGCCCATCGGAGCAGGAAATCACTTTAACCTTTTGACTCCAACTGTGGGGGGGGGGGGGGGCGGGGGGATAAAAGCCAAAACAACAAAGAGAGAAAAGAAACATCCAGCCGTTACCTAAATCACACTTCCAATTTCCAGTAAGCTGGTTAATTTAGAAGCGCACTAACCACGAAGCTAGTCGGCGTCATTAAGAGGCCATTTGGTAATTATGCAAATGAGGGCATTGTCCTAAATGCATCCACAAGGTCTGGCAATTTCCTGCGCCCATTCGAGTAAATAGTGTGGCGCCGTGGTTCTGAGATGTTAACTATCTCGCCTGGTGTACAGGAGATTCGTGGGTTTGATGTCCGACCCTGACGCCGGCATACTTAGAGTTGGCGGTGTCTTATACGCTTAGTTTTTTCGGTAAAGTCACGTAGGTAAAAAATAAAATTAAAATTAATAAAAGTAATAATAGAAATAAAATAATAATAAATCACGACGTTTCGGAGGCAACACAAGTCTCCGTCAGCAGGTGGGACCGTCACAGCTAGATTTGCTGTATCAAGTGAGGCAGGGATTCAAGATGCAAGTTCTTAAATACAAGATAAGGGGGAGGAGGAGGGGGGGGGGGGAGCTTATCAGAATGTGGTAAATTTTGCTGTCACCCATTCATTGGCTACCACATTCTGATAAGCTCCCCCCCCCTCCTCCCCCTTAACTTGTATTTAAGAACTTGCATCTTGGAATCATTGCCTCACTTGATACAGCAAATCTGGCTGTGACGGTCCCACCTGATGACGGAGACTTGTGTTGCCTCCGAAACGTCGTGATTTTTTATTATTTTATTTCTATTATTCCTTTTATTATTTTAAATTTCATTTTTTACCTACGTGACTTTACCGAAAAAACTAAGCGTATGAATCCTTGCAGTCACGAAAGCTTCAAATCTAGAGTTGGCGGTGTCTCTCTGCGTGACCACGTGGATTGTTCTCCGGGTCCTCTGCTTTTCCCCTCCACGTTTAGAATCAACGTCACGCGTTTTAGAGTTCTTTGGCTGCTACAAATTTCCACGCGATAAGCCGCTTCGTTGAGCTATCATTTGCTGCGAAAGGCAGGTCGCTTCTGAAAAATAACGACATCTTCACTATGGGAACCTCATTTGCCAGTAAAAATATGATAATTGTTTTTTTACCCTTCTATCTGGCAACAAAACTGACACCTTTTTACAAGGAGTCATGTTTGCATAGACCGCAATACCTGCAGTCATAATACAAACAAAAGACATAACTCTGATAATGTGCACTGTCCTTGAAGTTGATTGGTCCACACCTGAGACAGCGCCTTTTGGCGTCATCTTGTCCAACCCATGTGAGACTAGGCTCTAAGGAAAGCTG